CTGATTTATTCCCTCAGTAAACACTTTCCTGATGAGTTTCTGGTCTCAGTTGTTAGTTTCAAGTCTTCTTCAACACAGCATGATTTTCATTTAGTAATTATGGTCCCATTCAGAGGAACAGAGACCAGGAAGCAGGGAGGTTTTAGGGCGGGGCTACCTTGTGATTGACAAGTCGCGACCACGGCGACCTGTCAATCAGGATAGAGGTGAGTTTTAAACCTGAGCCAAAATTAGCATCCTGATTAAATACAGTTACCATGAAGTACAGATGCACCTTGGTAACCACCTAGCTAACGCCACCGTCTCGTCCAAATATGGTCATGTTCGGTGCCTGGTTGCAAAACACCAAGATGCCGACGGAAAAATTGCCAACTCGAAGCTTCAAAACGTATTTTATACAGTCTGTGGTCTTATGGGAAATGGTGTTTGTTAAAGGCTGCTAAAAAGCAGAAATATTAAATTAACAATGACTACTTTTAAAAAAATATTTTCTTTTTCTAAACCACACAACAAACTGCCTTGAAAAGCCTTTATTTTTAGTTATTTGCAAATTTCAAAAGGGACTTTGAACGAGGTTTTCTTACTTGGAAAATAACGAAGATCTGACTTCACTCCTGTTCTTTATGGAGAGACACTTCAGTTTCATTTTGGGAAATTTAATCTCCAAATACTGCTTACATTTTCACAATTCCTTTTTAAATGTGTTTCTCTCTCGCATCCAAATTTAAGGAGGTGAAATACTAAATCCTCACTTACATGCTTTATTAAGACATTTTTGTCTTGTCTGTTATTGGACTTTGGATATAAGTGTTGAAAGCTCTGTGTAAAAATTTCAAACTGTCATATCCAGGTAAAATAAGAGTAACTTGTGTCCCCAAGAAGATTTTTGTCATGTTTACTTGACAAAAAACAAGTTTCTTTCTACAGAGTGCTTTTGATCAAAAACCAAAGTAGGCTTCACATAACGCTGTTGTCTCTCAGAAATGCTTCTGAACATTTTCAGATGGATATAAATCGTGACTGAATCCAGATCTTTGCTCTTTTATTTTTGGAGGAGAAGCTTTTGTGATTTATCTTGTTCCCTGAAGATTAGCATTCATGTTTTAACAGAGCCAAACATTTTCACAGGACACATGAAACTTGTGAAAATTGAAATGGTGCGGAGGTGTGGTGATAAAGCTTCATCACAACAAGAACATCCTGCTGCTTTGGTGGGAGTCTTTAAGTGTGAAGAGAGATTAAGAGATATTCACTATTTAGAGAATAGCTGCTGCTAATGTTTGCTTGGCTAATTAGGTTAGTGGTAAGCGTTATTTATTTCCAAACTAAGGCGATGCAGTATGTATGTTACAAGTTACACCAAAAATCCCTTTGCGGGTCTGGAACATCAACCTTGTGTGCACCAAGATGGCACTAACATTGTCAGAGTTTAAGCTAACATTAGCAGCTCTGTCCTGCTCTTTATTGGAATAAGGGAAGTTTAAACTCCAAAATCTCCCGCTAAACTTGCATTAGAGAGTTTTTTGAGTTTGTGTTTTGATCTTTTCTCTTGTAAAAATGAAACATACAGTTTGAAAATAAGAACATTAAATTGTAGGTTTAACCTCCGTGTGTGTGTTTTTCTACAGCACGCATCCAAACCAAAAGAGTTAACAGTTCGAATGAATAACATTTAATTTTTATTTTTAGCTATAATACTGTACAGTAATACTATAGACGGGTTTCTTGTATACAAACACTACTGGATGGGCGCGCAGCTAAGCGCTTCGGTAGCCAGTCAGAAGACTGTAGTCAACCACTGTAATCAACATAGATCACGCATTGTTTGTGCACGACGCGCTGCAGGTCAGCGACACCGTAATGTTGTTCAAGTCAGCTGCTAGCTGAAAGGCTAATGGAAGAACGAGGGAGAGAGGCGTTCTTTCCACAGTTGTGATGTTAAGTACTGACATTAGGCCAAACTTAGCTGTGTCACGCTCAGAGATGCAAACATCATTATCTTCTGTAAACGTTGTGAGACCAGCAAAAATATTTCAACCGCGAACAATTTTGTATTGAAGCATCTGCTAAGAAACGTGAAACTTTGCCTGTAGAAAGAAACTCCGACTGCTGACATTACTGCCAGTGAAGCATCCACTCGGCAGGACAGAGTGGCGTTAATCAAAGTTTTGTGTTTTGTAAAAGCACTGAATACTTCTCTTATAAGTGCATGTGCAAAACAGTAATGTTAGTTCAAAAGTCGAGAATCTTTTTTTATTTTTATCTAAGACAGTGGAGTTAAAAAACGTTATATGCTTCGTAAAAATCTTAGTTTAAAAAGTCGTGAGAGACTTGCTTTGTTTTTTCTATTTGTTTTTTCTATTTCAGCCACGCGTCAGATAAAATGTCGGGAGGGACCTGCTTTGTTTTTTAATATATTTAAAAAGCCTATTTTAGCCTGTATGACACAGCATCCTCTGGTCTGAGAGGCTGCACTGTTTTAAATTCGGCTCCTTGTTGACCCCTCAGGTTAATTATTGTTCCAGTAAAGTGGATTAATTTCTAAAATGCGCTGCTGAAGAGGTTTCCCGTCACTTTTAAGGATGGGGCGCAGTGGTTGAAAGTAATTGTAACTTAACGAGTAACGTGACTATTTACTTTTAATACCCAGTAATAAGTAACGTAATATTGTTACGTTTTAAATTAGTAATAAGTAAAAACTAACCCATTACAATTTCTGAGTAATTTGTCCAACACTGCAGCTAGATATGTCATTTAAACTGATGTGCCGTGAGGACAGAGTGCTGCTTTCTGCTCCCTGGTTGCTCGCGCATCTCTGTGATGACGTTGCACAGAAACCCGTCTATATCTCCAATCCATGATGCCATGGTTCTCCTTTATTTCCATGTTTATTTATTTCCAGCAGGTTAGCTAACTGCAGTTCATTAAATCTGCAAATGATTTAGTGCCAATTTTTTCTGCTAATAAATTTTATTTTGTTTTTTGCCAGCCAAAATTGGTTAATGTGAATCACAGATGACCCTTGCAGACCAAGCTATCCAGCTCCATCCTCTCTTCCACATATGGTCACATCTGGTTCCTAAAAACCAAGATGGCAAAAGCCAAAATGCCAATTTTAAGGCTTTAACACGATGCCGTGCACAAATTAACGGGTGACGTCCACTTCTTTTATATAGTATGGGACAAATACTCTCACCTGCCACCATGAGGGTGAAGTCAAATCCTTTTTTCACGGACTTCCTGTGCACCTGGTTGGGCAGCGTCGCGAATCCAACATAGTCTTTTTCCTAAAAACCAGAACACACACAAAACACATTAGATCAGTTGTAGAGCTTGTGCTTGTAAAGACAGACAGAAAGATATAGGCTGATTATTTTACTCGGTATCTATCAACAGCATTCGTTCTCTATTCTTATCCATTTTAGCTAATGTATTTCAGAAAATTAACTTTAACTTTGATTATTTTTTTCAGTCCATGGCTTATAGGAATCAAGTGTTTCTGCTAAGATATGCTAAGCTAGCTACAGTTAGCGTATAGCTGGGGTGAGGAAAAAGGGTCCTTCTCCAGCAATAGATATTTTTCATTTACAGAAAACAATGGGAAAATCAATGAGTCCCTCCCCTTCCGGTGAACCACCATGGGATCTTATTTCAGAAAAAATATGTACTTTAGTCAACAGTAAGAGACATTTAATGTTTTGATTCTGTTTGAACTGTGCCCTGAATCACACACGATGTTTGTCAATTTAAAAGATCATTCTGAAAGTCAAGAAAAACTGTCTAAGACTGTGTTATATGTATGTCGTTACAGAAGTTAACATTACTGAAGCTAGCGTCAATAAAGCAAATGTTACTGAAGCTAACGTTACTAAAACAAACATTAGTGAAGCTAACGTTTCTTAAGCAACCGTCACTGAATTTATTAACGCTTTTTACATTCACACACTCAGCGTAAGCACTCAAACAGAAACAGATGTTTTTGCAACAATGGATCAGCCATCAGGGTTCAGTATCTTGCCCAAGGACACTTCGACAGGCCACCTGGAGGAGCCGGGGATTGAACCGCCAATCTTCCAATTAAAAGGCAACCCGCTCTTCCTCCTGAGCCACAGCCACCCCGTAACACAACAGTAAGTAAAGTTAACATCACTGTGAAGCTAACGTTACTGAAGCTAACATCAGAGAGCTTCCATGTGTAGATGATGTGATTGGAGAACCAGGAGTCGTTGGATTAAACACACCAGGTGAGAAACATCTGTGCGTGGAACATAAGTTATGTAGCTAGTAGCAAGCAAACAATGAACGTTAGCTCAGCATTATAGTGGTAACACGTTGGTGACGTATATTGTGCACGACGACAGATGGAGTTCACTGAGCGGTTTCACACAAAACTAAATGTTACTTTACAGTTTTACGACAAACTGCAACTTTCTTGACGGACAAAATTACATTTTAAATTGACAAACATCATGTGTGTCATTCAGGGCACAATTCAAACGGGATAAAAAAATAAGTTGTCTCTTGCTGTTGACTACTGTATAAAAATCTTCCAGAATAAGGTCCCATGATGCAGTAGGGGAAGGACTTTTAGACTCTTTATATACTTAGCTTTAGTTTTAGCTAGCCATGTCTATCTCACAAGCTAGCTTTCAGTTGATATACAATGTCTCACAAAAGTGAGTACTCCCTCACATTTTTGTAAATATTTGATTAGAGTGAGTAATGCAGTAGTACACAGTAAGGATACTGAGTTTTTTGTGTTTTAGGTCTTTTTAAATGTATACGCTGTTTTTATGGAATGTGCACATTACTATAACATAGAATTTTTTATGGTAATAAAAACATTTTGATCGAATATATAATAAGTGCTTTTTGCTTTTGCGGGGCAGCATACGCATACCATAATGGCCGACCCCATTCTGATCTCCCTTACAGCTCTGTGCTGCTGCATGGTACAGCACAGGAGCTGTGTTAGTAGGACATCCCCATGATTCCTTTCATGTATTATTGAAGTGAGGGGGGCGGAGAGAGCCTGAGAGCATGTCCTAAAGGATCTCCAAGTATTCATAATACAGTATGGCAGCATGACAAGAGGAGGGGTGGGCAGTGTGTGCAGTGAACGCAACAATGCAGAGACATACGTGTGCATCTGAGAGGAAGGAAAGCCAAAAACTACAGAACAAAACAGGGTCGAAGGAGGCAGATAGTGTAACAGCTCCACTTGAGAATACAGCAAGCTTTAATACCAAATCTAATGTAGAGTGCATTAGCTGGACTACTTAGGGAGTGACTAAGGACTTGTGTGTGTGTGTGTGTGTGTGTGGACGTGTTTTTCTCTTTGGGTTCGGTGTTGCTTCCATATTGACATTTTGTCTGCGGATGCGATTGCAAGTCACTCCCACACACACATCGCAAAAATACACAGATCCAGACTGCCGGGTAACACCACCACGCCAACTCAGCCTCAGCGCTGCCGTTTAAGACTGGCATGAAAACCATGGAGCAGGATGAAGGCAAACATTATGAAACTGCTTGTGGGAATTTTGAGGATGTATATCTGAAAATAAAGATGCTCACAGTGAAGGCGGTGAGGAGATGCTGTATGTAAGACATATGAAAGTATCTGGTATTTTTCTACCATAAATCTCCTGAGATTCACATTTCCAACTTGCTTTGGGCAACAGTGTTCACATATTTTCCCTGTTTTCTGACCTTAAGTAGTTTTAAGGTTGAAAAAATCATCTTATTCGATAATGTTTCACAGTATTTCATTATATATTTTAAAGCTGAATCCATTAGTTGACTGAGAGAAAAGTAATGGGCAACTATTTTAATGATTACTTAAACTTTACTTTTAAGCAAAAATGGCAAATATTTTTCTAGCTTCTCCAATATGACAATCTGCTGCTTTTATCTGTTTGATATGATCCAAAACTTCATATTTTCCTGTTTTGCTCAGTTGTTCGGACAAAATAAGACATTTGAAGATGTCGTCTTCATGTTTAAAAAGTTTTACAGGCATTTTTCACTATTTTCTGACATTTCATGGGATAAAACTAAAATAGTTACCAGATTATTGACTGTTAGTTGCAGCGCTATGTCATCTCGTTCCAGCGTTTCAGGGAAGCTATATGAAGTATTCAACTGAAATACTCCATGCCCTTTATGGCTGCTCCAAACTCCAAATGTTTAGCTCGACAGATTCTGTATGTTTGGAATAACCTTTAGCATTTAAAATAAAGTTTTGGAGGGTTTGAGCAAAGTTTGCAAGGGTTAAATTCTCCTACTGTATTGTACTGAGAGTATACAGTTTCTATTATCGGACAGTCACATGCACATAATGCACGATAAACCAAATTTACAGTGTTATGTTTTTTAGTGGTCGACTGATGCTGATATTTAGAGAGCAGGGCGGCCAACGTCCAGTATATAACGCCGATATCAAAACAAAGAAATGTAGGGTATAATTCCACTATTCCTGCAGAATACAATCTAATGTAGATGTAATCTCAGCCAGTAACGTGTTGTTTTAGATGGAAGTTTCCTTAATGAATGGAACAGAAACATACTTTAGGTTCTGCTGTAGATTTCAGAGCGTGGCTTATGTGACGTCATTCAGCTGCTTTATTCTCTACAGTATAGCTATAGATATATTTAACAAGCCGGTGATGCTGTCAGATTGGAGCTGCTGTCATTTAGGAGAAACGTGTTCACATTTAGAAAAGACGATGGTGACTGAGGACATTTAGGGCTCCAGACTCACTTTTTCACCACCTTACAAAAACTCAACAAGAGGTAGCGTTAACATTGTTCACCAGCAGCTCACAGACGAGGCTTCCTTCAGATGTATCTGCAGACACTTTCAGTATATCACCCTTGTGAGTGCCGGTATCAGCCGATGCAGATTACCTCAAAATGCCAGATCATTTTTTTTAACTGCTGATAAATCATGCAGAGCTACAACTGATGTTTTCAAATGTCTCCTTTTGTCTAAACCGGTCCAAAACCTGCAGATATTCAGTTTACTTTCAGAAATGACGAATAAGACACAGAAATGTCACAATTGAGCAGCTTGAGTCACTGAATGCTTTTGGCATTTTCAAATGACTGAAATGATAAATCAATTAACAGTAAATAAGATTTTTTTGTTGACTGACTGATTGATTATTCCACCAGTCGTTTCAGTACTAGAATCATTTACAGGTGTGAATAGAAATGGTTGAGTGAGCGTGAGTTTTCTGCATGGTGGTGCAAACTTCTGTTATTTATTCACCAGAATCCATAAAACCTGAATAAACTAAATATCAGTGATGTGTCCACACTGACAGTAAAGACAAAGAGGGGGTCACTGACAGCACTGATCACAGCTGTACAGCCACCAAAAACAAAGGGATGTTATTGGCTGATGCAGGTGCGACACAGCAGGAGGCTGCTGCGCACCTCTTACCTCTCCATCATCTGTGTCAGGAGGCCACATTCCAGGCGACATCAGTCCGTTTGGGGAGCAGATCCCAGGAGGAGAATATCCGGAGGAAGAAATGAAAACAGCATGTTTATTTGTGCAGACTCATTACTCGATGCGTAATTTGACGCGCGGTAGGTTATTAATTACCTGCAGGGACTTACCTGACCGGGGCGCGCGACTCTTGTACCTGCTGTTGGTCGTCATCTTGGACGCAGTTGGTGCTAAATGCGTCCAAACTGAATGAGCTGGGCGGGTCTGGAGCCGCTGGTGCTCCCTTTAAATTAAGGCTGTACAATCTTTCACCGCCACAGCAAGAAGATGAGTCCAACAGCAGCAGCGTTCACGTGTGCAGGAATGAATCTAAATCACAAACAAAACCACAAAATCTTTCATTCTGTCGCCATATTCTGCAAGCCAGATCTGTGTCCTCATGCACGCAGGATGGTCTGCCGACTGTGAGCCGGTTTATTGTGTGAAAAAGTGTTTGCAGTGCAGGTGAGACGCCAGGCGGTGGCAGTATTGCCCTGTTCATGCACAAGAACATCACGTTTACATGATGCCCTGCAATGCTGAATTGTCTGTGCTGCAAGTTCTACATTTATTTTGAATTTCTTCTGATAATAATAATAATAATAATAGTTTATTCATAGTGAACTTTTCAAGCTAAAGGCTTAAATTGCTGAAGCTAAAAGACGAAAAGAGCTTTAAAGATGAATAACAAGCAGCAAAGATCAGCAGTGGAAGCAATACAAGCAACACTACAGTGTAGAAATACTTTGTTCCAAGTAAAAGTACTACATTTAAATTCTTACTTAAGTAACAGTACAAAAGTGTTAGCATCAAATATGCTTAAAGTACAAAAAACAATTTATTTCATATTTATATCCAGTACTGTGCTGACGTTTTGATGATTGTTTGATGCTCTTTTGAAGTCAAATATTGATTTGATTTAAATTTTTCTTCTGTTCACTCACTTTGCCTTGTGTTTATTGATATATAAAATCTATTAACATGTTTATTTTTGAAAGCATATTTTATATTAATAACCTGAATCTGCAAATAACCAATGTCAAATAAATGTAATGTAGAGTAAAAAGTACAATATTTGTTTGTGATGGTACAAAGTAGCATAAAATGGAAAAACTCAAGTAAAGTACATGTACCTCAGAATTGTACTTAAGTACCATACTTGAGTAAACGTACTTAGCTACATTCCACCACTGGCAATTATTACACCTCTAGTGGCAAAAGAAGTCAGGCGACGTAAGGAGGTGGTGGAGTCAAGTAAACTCTGGACTTTTAACCACGAAACCGAGGTTCAAGTGACGTGTGGAAAAAAGTTGAAGTTGTAATTTTTTAAGTTAAATAACGGACGTGCCTACTTAATGTAAGTACTTATTTTAACCCAAACCACCATCTTTTCCCTAAAGCTAAGCTAGTGATTTAGTTGCCTAAACCTAACCATCTAGCGCCGTTTCACAACATTTGCCACGTGTTAAACGTGTTGGTCTGGTACGCCTGTCGCTGTACTGGAACGGTTAAACACTCATACGTGTTGTTTTGAGGAATTAATGTATTTTAACCTTCCAACAGTTTTATACGTAGTTTTGGGACACTTGACAATCGACCCATTTTGTCGTTTAGGTATGACCAAGTGTTGGTGATACTGTTGCTGTTAATATATTTTACTAACCGTAAAATGGAAACATAATGTTTGAAAATACAAACAACAAAGCTCTATGGATCATCACCTGCTGAGGATTATACTGTTTAAAATGACAACTAGGCCATCATTCGTTAGCTAAGCAAACGTTTCTGCAATGAAGTGGTTAAAGATGCCATCTCCAGCTAAGTTTGTAGTGTTTCCATCTGTCTGATTTAAAAGAAGAACCCTGTGAAAGGGTCATAAATACACACTTGGTGGCTACATACTTCATATAATGCTAAAAGGCTAAAGCTAACAGATCCGAGGCAAAAAGCAAGTGTAGCGTAAGGGTGTAGATTTTAATCTAAGGCCTTAGATTACCATTAGTTTGTTCACTGAACAGATATTTTACTGGTATTCCTTGGGGTTTATATTAAAGGTTATTTAAATAACAGCAGATACACAATATATACACATACCCTCACACATCCGAATACAGACATATTTTTAAAGAAAATATCCAACAACAATGCAGTATTGTGTGGCTCGGTGTGAGATGCCACCCACTAGCAGACCTGTGTAACATGTAAGTGTTAGTGAGTTTTACTGTGCTGTAGTTATAGTAACAACAAAAGAGTCTGTCTACGGTTATGTTTTTTTAAATGTATTTTTTCTTAATGAAAAATAAAACTAGACGTCTTTGCCACGAGCCTTCAGCTGCTACCCGGTCAGACATGCCAATCATTTCCCTGCCTCCAGTTTGTCAAAGACAATCCCAGGCTGGATGTGCCTCAGCGGTCAGTGACAGTGAGTTATTCAAACACAACAGCAGGACTAAAACAAGCAAAAAAGAAAAAGACATGAGGTTCGGTGAGATTTGTCCTGCAGGGCTGACAGCTACGTGAGGGAGGAGGAGACAGCAGGGGAACAATGATGAGAGCGGGGAACTGGAGGTGGGAGCCGGGTGCCATAACTGACCCTGTTTCCTGTGCTAGCACACAGGCTGCATGGTGTAGTGGGGGTCAGACAAGGACCGACCTTCCCTCCCACCATCACCAAAATGGATTTCTTCTGATCTCAGTTGGGGGCTCCACAGTGACCTCTGTACACAAACAAAACACTGTAATTGCTCTCTATTTATTTGAAATGCCTACACGGGGCTTTAGCTGGCCCACTTTTGGCATTCGCTGCTCAGTTTTGGTTTCATGCAGTGTGAGGAAGGGATGGCTCAAATGCGATAAACTGGGATTTAACATGAGCTGTTTGGCCTGGAGGTCAAATATGCAGCATAATAATCCAGAGTTTAGTGGTGTAATCTCTCCCAGCTGACATCAAATGCCAAGAAATGTAATCAAAGTATGATCATTAGAGAGTCCAGCCTTCTCCAACAGTAACCAGGCGCTCTGACGTCTCTCTAACGGCACAGTAACTAACATTAATTCAGAAATTATGTCGAAATTAATATTTTTCTTCTAGTCAGATTTTATATTTGAGGGATATTTTAATGCCGGGTTCAGACTACACAATAACTGCCCTACCCGACAGATTTTCACTCCCAACTCATCACATTTGGAGGCTTGTTCGAGACCCACTTTTTAACGCCCTGGGTACCCTTTAGAGTTGTTTTTTGCACATGTAGGGCTCCGCAGTCAAGTTAGTAATACAAATATGTAACGTCCGCTTAGACTTTCCAAATAAAACTTGTGGTAAATTTGTAACGTTGCAATTTGGTTAGGTTTAAGTACAAAAACTACTTGGTTAGATTGAGGAAAATATGCATTTGGTTAAAATAATTATGTTATTTACATTTTAACATATATAAATCACGCAAGTTATGTCACATACATGTGTTTTTCCGTTAACCATTTTCAAAAGACAGCTTGAGAGGCAGTTTTACTGGCACCAATCAGAAACATCAGAACAGCTGTGGCTGGAAAAGGCAAAGGAAGACGTGGTGCACATGAAAAACATGCAAAGCAACAAAATTAATATTATTATTATAAACATTTAGCCAAACTTTTTACAAAAAATATTAGGATGTAACCTCCAATGCAAACATGAACATTTAACTGTAACTGTAATTAATTTACACTTAAGTAGCAAATTAATACTTATACAAAGCAGAAGAACTCTGGAACCAATCCAGGATTGGAGAAACGGAGGTCAAGAGTCGCTCGTTCGAACCCCTCACCAGTCTCTTTTAAACATGGAATCAAAAATGTCTCTAAAATTCTGAAATTACTAGGATTTTCCTGACTATTTCAAGTCAGACTCTAAAAAAACTCCAAACATATATGCATAAAACATTTCTCAGCCTCTTTAGTAATTCCCCTCCTAATATTTTAATGTGATCACCCCCAGGAAGTGTTCAGATCCTAAAGCTGGAGTGCAGGCCCTGTACAAAATGAACGTCCATTAAATTCAAGCACTCACTAAACGAGTTCACAAAGCCTCTCACCTCCATGTAAATCTCTCTGTATTTGAGTTTTCTGAGGCTTCCTTCCTGCACCGGCGAACCAGTAGTCACGTGTTTTATGCCAACCAGCAATGATTGGATTTAATCGGCTGTGTATAAACTGTTATGTATAAACTTCACATTTATAATATAATAACAATCTTTATTTGTAGAGCACTTTTCAAAAACAAGTTACAAAGTGCTT